GAAAAGTCTAGAGAGAAAAGAGCAGAATGTATTAGATTTTCTAAATTTTCATATAACCAATGACTCAGGGGTTACACTTCTAGGATATATTCTAAGACTATAATCCAGAACACAGATTTAGCTACAGAGAATTTAATCATACAAAGCTAAACTACAGAAAAAACCACAAACAAAAAAAGGAATCTGGAAGTAACCTTAAATGTGAAATAATTAGAAATATGATTAGTGCAGACAGCTGTAACACAGTAACTAAATTTCAGGCCTTGAATAAGATTGCTGGCTATCCTACTTCTCTCTCCACGCCCCCCGTGCTACTCACTTGACTTGGGCAAAGCTTCTCCATCCGGGAGATTCAGAAGACATCACTATAAACAGAGTGGTGCTGTGAAGAAGGAAGGAGCTTTGCTCGCTCAGTCTTACGATGTGCAGTGCAACCATTACAGTCTGTAACACACTCAACCACACTAAGAGGAGGGGGAAGATTTATTTCATGATACAGAAGAGTGGGGTCTAATAAGGATGGAAAGATCACACTCTTTGTGAACGCTGTTATTTGCAGTAAAGACTCGAAGTATATTTCCAAAATGTTAATAATAATCAAGTCTGAGTGGAGAGATTGTGCATAACTGGATTTTCTTCTTTTATCTTCTTTTATTGTCTAAATGTTTGGTAATAAGCATGTATTGCTTTTATACAATGAAATTACAACAGAAGGGTTTTTTAGTAAAAAAAAATACTGCTTATACATTTCTTGAAAGTATTAAATTCACTCTATACTGATGTTTGCAAAATGCCAGCTTGCTCTCTTCAACATACTTCTCTGTATTCTTGGTCATACAATGAATTTGTTATGTCCCTAGGCTATCCAACCCAAATTTACTCTGTATAGTTTATAAGTCTGAAGTTGATGAATTAAATATTGATTAACCACAAGTATATTGGCTATTTCTGAACAAACTTTGATCTGGTCTACATAGTTCCCAGAATTTAGGAAAAATCCCAATGTACCTATCCCCATTTCTGTTTCTGGAGAATTGAGTGCAGTCAAAGTAGGGTCAGCAGCAGTCACAGTTATTTGCCTCCTGTAATGTGGGTGGGCATACAAAAATGTGTAGAATAACTTACACCCAAGTGCTGAGCATGGTGGCACACACCTATAATCCCAGCACTTGGCAGGCTGATGTAGGAGAAGCACTGCAAGTTCAAGGCCAGCCTGGGCTACAAAGTGAGTTCAAGGCCAGACTGAACTGCTAGCAAAACCCTGTCTCAAAAAGACAAAAATAAATAAATAAATTTACACCCAAGTGATAAGACTTTGCTTCCTCTCAGAGAAGTTGTCGTCATCTTCCAAATCAGACAACTGAATTGAGTTCCTACTGAATTAGACAAGTAGGATGTGCTGTGTCACCACTATATGCCCAGACTCAAACAGTGGAATAATAATGCTATTTCAATGATTGAGACTCTGCCAACAAAGCGCCATATGACTGAGCGAGTGAGAGCCCTACAACGAGAGGTCTCCAAGAGAGACCCAGAAATTCCCTCTCAGCGTGCTTTTAGGCACTGAATTCACGCAACCCTCTCCACAACCAAAGATGCCTGCAACAGATAATCAATCCTTCCATTGTCATTTCAAGCAAAGGCTAGGAATAGATTTTACAAACTCTAACATTTGCAACTGCATCTCACAACTGTCTTCCCTGCAGATACAGATTAGGAAAGGAATTTTTCTTGAAGCTGCCAGTACAATAAAAAAGTAATTTTCTTGTCATTTTTTTTTTTTTTTTTTTTTTTTTTCTCCGGTACCGGGAACCGAACTCATGACCTTGCGCTTGCCAGGCAGGCGTTTTCTTGTCATTTTTAAGGTACTTTTCCCTGAAAGATGCACATTTAAAAAAAATGTCACGAGGACTTCAGGTTTGAAATGTTATAGAATTTATACATCTTTCTAAGGAAGACATAAACATGATAAAAATTTGTAGCACAATTTATATGTTAACTAGGAGGGTCATGATATATTTCTAATAGATGTTCTTTATAAAAGCTTCAAGGAAAATTGAATTACGAAATAAGAATCCAAGCACCATTTCACTCAAAAAAGTTGAAAGAGGAACTCTGGGCAAGCCACACTGGTGATCAGGTAGTTATTGTATTTTATCTAGAAATCCCTTAGGTAAGCTCACTTACAGCCGCCCTCCTCCATGTGTCCGTCGATACATACTAAGGTATACTTTATGTATTAGGGGGAAATTAAACTTTGCTACATAATTCTGATTCTACTTGTGTTTATTCCCAGGTATATATTAAGTGCATTTTTTTTCAAATGAGCATCTGTTTGGAGAAAGAAAAGAACTAAATACCTTCATGTGTTTTCAACTTAGCCAATCCATCTGCATTTTACAACCCGCATGCAGCCACAAGAACTTTTTTTTTTTGATGCTAAGCATAAAAGGTCATTGTACAGATCAGCAAGAGTGAGAAGAAAACTCCAAAGAGTTTCAGCTTACCCAGATCCAAGACTCAAGTTAAATACCATAATCATGCCAGTCATTAGTTACCACTCAGTCTCTGTCTCCAGGCCGGAAACCAGTCTGCCAGAACCCAGATAAAGCAGCCAGGCTTTATCACACAACTATCCCAGGAGGACATTTTTTGAGGAAAATTACATGCAATTCTACTTGAAGGACGGAAAACACCCCTCATTTTACAATGCTCTTTTTTTCTTAGCTAATAAAGAACATGCATTTTGAAACTCAGTAATTAAAAAAATAATACCATGAACTTTAAATATTATGATTCTACATGAGTATATTCACTAACTTCTACATAATTATTCCTTTCATGTTTATGTAAATATAATATTTATTAAGAAGAATTAAGAACTCTATACTTTGGTAGAATTATTTACTATGCATTTCAAAAATTCAAACAAATTTGACTCTTAAAAACATTAGAGTTCATGGTTACAAAGTAAGAGTAGAAATTATTAACTACTTCTTTGGAAGAAATGAAGTTTTAAAAATTTCATCTGAAGGGCAGTAATTAAAAGATTTAAGAAACATGTTTCAAAAACTATGCTTAAAGTTGATTCATTCAAAAATTAATTTTATAATTTTCTTCTGAAAACATGCTACTGTACATGTAAAATGTACATTAAGTCTTTATTGAATTCCCATAAATTTAGTAAAGACTAACAAATCTAATGAATGAGTAACTGTTGGAGAATAGTGATGTAATACCTGGAAATCTGAGTTGAAACTACACACCCAACTCCTTCGCCACTGAGGAACTGAACTTGAAATCTGCTTCAGGATAAAAAAGCTGCACAGTTTATAAGACTTCACGAAAAAAGAGTATCATCTCCACCAGTAATGATTCTGTTTGAAATTTTAAATTTAACTATTCTTCATTCTATGGTATTTAAATAAACTTCACATCATCTAGGAAACTTATGTTATTCCACTCTGAATGATTTATCTTTTTATGCTAACATTTCACAATTAATTTTTCTTCCTCAACTAGAACCATCTGGTAAAGACTTTAAAATTCATCCTAAGCATAACTATAAACTCTGTCATTTCTGGAATGTACTTAAGTCCTAAAAATCTCAATTACCTTAAGAATAATATAAATCTTGACGTGTATACATATAAACATATGTTAAAAGACTGCATATATCTTACTTTTCAAACTTCACCAATTAATTGTAATTTCTCAATTACTTCCCAAGATTTAACCTATTGAATATCAAGATTTTGTCAGAGTAATAAGCATAATTTTTTTAAATATAAGGTTTCAGTGCAGTTCAAGGCCTCTCTACATTTATATAAGCCATCACCACTATTTACCTGTAATATTTCATTGATATAACTCCATATACTCTAGTTTCACAATAAAGTGCCATAGAATTGCAGATGCTATGACAAGCTGTGGAAAAATACATTTGAAAATATATGTAATAATGAATACTCACACATTACTTTTAGCTTAAAATTATTTTTACTCTATGGTTTAGCGCTAATCGTTATTACATTATAAAGTACAATTTCTTTGATATGCCAATGTAATATCTTTTGGGACATAATTCTGAAGTCATTTGGTAAAACATAGCTGAAACTTTTCAGCAGCCTACAGGTCACGAATTTAAATGCTACTGAATTCATGGAAAGCTGGTTTCATACTGGGTTGACTGTTTACATAGATAAAACGAACAATCCTGACTTCGGCATCCATTCCTCCAACCCTTCTGTCCTGGGCAAAGGAAGTTCTACTGTGTGCAGACAGCCAACCCTCTTTTCCCTATGGTTCTGGAGAAGTTATATCAGCACCTGTTGCAAGCACTGGTTCTGATAAGTCTACATCGTATGTGTTAACATTACCTCCTGCCATAGGCTGGTTAAAAAAAAAGACAAAGCTCAAGTGAATCAGCAGCCACCTCTGGAGGGTATTATTGGCCATGGTCAGAGGGAAGCCTTTCTATCTAGAGATGGGAACACATAGCATGTTGTCTCAGTAATTGCTGAGAGCCATTTTAAAAGCGCAAAACTCCAGGGTTGGGAAAAACTGAAAGAGGAGAGGAAAACCAAGAGAAACAGAGTAACAGAGCCTTGATCACACCCTGCCTTTTTATTATAGAATGTTATACATTTCCTTATTGTGGAGTGAAATTTGTATCAGATCCTGAGAGTTTTGCAGCCAAGCCCAAGTGACATAGTTTCTTTTTAAAGTAATGACTCTAATATGAATTAAGCACACTCAGAATTTGTGTTCCGTCACTTCCAACCACCTTAGAGGAACACCTCCTGAGCTGTCTTCTCCAATGGAGCTCCCTTTAGTGTGAAAGGCTGAGACGCGTGTGCTGCTATTATGTTCCACAATCTTACCACTCAAGTTACAAATATGACCAAAGAACAGTAAAAATATCATTTCACTTGATTTACACATATTTAAAATTTAAAAAAGGCTTCTTCCAAGTAAGTTTCTCATTTTTCTTTTCTTACCTCTTTCACATTGTGGACCAGTGAAGCCATAAACACAAGCACAGCGGTTGGGTCCAATACAACGCCCACCATTTTGGCATCCATTTTCACAGACAGCTGTGCACAAAACACAAAAAACAGCTCTTTATATAATAAACTTCCAAGCATGAAATTATGTTCTGGTGGTGCTTCCAGTGAAAGATCTTACATTAAATACATCTTTAAAACAAAAGTTACAACTATCATCAAGTATTTAAGAAAATACATTTAATTGTATATTGAGACAAAACCTGCACAATTCATGGAAATCACAAATCTGCACAAGGATTGGATGGTTCTGATCACAGGGTTGGAGTATCACTATTCAAACCTCTATTTCTTTTTTTATAAATCAATATATGTCTGCAATACCGAATAACTACATTAGTTTGAGGAGACCAGTACATGTACGTAATATATCTTGTACTTTCAATCCTTTTGACCTCCCCACCTGACCCCTCTTCCACTTTTTCCCCATCTCCAAATAGTGCCTTTCCTTCAACCTCTATTTCTGTTCTACTGACCTTATAATCTGTCTTCTCATAGGCAAGAAGTGAGTAAAATAGGAGACACAGAAAGATAAAGGAGGCAGACTGTATGTAACAGGGAGGGAAAGAGGATGGGGAAATGTCACATGTAAAAATAAAGAGGGTATGGAAATAAAGGGAAAAAAGCAAAAATCAGAGAAATAAGCCAGCGAAGGGAAAAACCTAAAGCAGGAAAGTCAAAACTAACGTGAAAAGTGGGAGAAAACACTATTAACTTTAGTTATAAAAGGTCAAAGTAAGTAATCAATGTGTAGAGACCAGATGAATATGACAGAAGAAAAGGCAGGGAAAAAAAAGCTGTGGCTTCACCAGGTTTTTAAAATTTATTTCTTCATATAAAATTAGACCACAGTTCAAATTATTTCAAGTGCAGTGGTCCCTTGGTATCTATGGGGGACTGAATCCAGAACCCCTGTGGATACCAAAATTCACAGATGTCCAAGATCATACATAAGTCATAGTATATGCATAAAATCTACACAATCCTCCTGGACTACTTTAAGTCACTGACAGCTTATAACACATAACGTAATGTGCATGCTATAAAAAGTCTTCTACTACTGTTCAAGGAATAGTGACAAAGAGAAAGAAGACTACACATGCTCAGGACAGGCACAATTGTTTTCAAATATTCTTCATCAGTGGTTTATTTAAATCCACAGGTCCATAACCTGGGGATATGAAGCGCCAACTGTAATCATGACAGATTCACAGAACAACATTCTCTCGAGGGGAATCAAACAGGCAGAACTAAACCCACTGTCCCTTCTTGCCCACTATGGCACACTGGTGTGTCAACTCAGCCCAGCGGCTAGGACCCAGGCAAGTGTCCCAGAAGATCAGAGTCCAGAATCCTTGAAGGGTGAGTACTCCAACCTCCATACTGGGACTGCTGAATTCAGAATCCTCTCTTCTCCAAGAGAAAATTCTAGCACCAAGAGCTTGTCTTCCAACTTACTTATCCTGGTGAAACGAAACACTGCCTTCACAGACGAAGAAAGGGTGTATGTCTTAAGATTTGTGCCCCAAAAGATAGCATGAGGACATTAATTATTTCTTATTAAAGGGAAATGAAGTAGAAAAAGACATTTACATGCACTTTGAGGCACGCCTTAAATATAAAAGGCTCAGTAAGTGGACTGATGTCTAAAAAATGGAGTAGCACCACCACTGTTTTTAAAGCAGGGCTGTTGAACTGGATTACCTGTCATCATCCAGAGAGCATGGAGTATTTTCTGTTCTGCTGATGACAGCACCACGCAGACACAGCACAAAACAAAGATACCCTCACCCTAAATTATCGCTTTGTCGATGAGCTTACAATTCCTTGTCTATAGGCATTCTTTGATCACAAGTGTGACTCTCTCTTTGCACAGTTCACACTCTGAGAACCACATTCTGCTTCTCCACCTGTCCCAAGCTGAGCTCCATGCAGTTCTCATCGCTGCCGTGCAACACAGGGGCAGAGAGAACAGAAAAGTAAATACAGAGGATCGGCAAGGGCAGACAAAAGCCATAGGGATGGTGAGGAAGATGGGGGTGGACAGGAATGTAGAAAAGGACAAAAGTATGGTGTCATTCCACTGAAATAACTGCCAGAACTTAAAAATTCTAACTGTTCAGCAGATACTCTGCGTAATTCCACAGAAATACTTGCCTGGACTTGTGGATTCTTAACTGTTCAACAGATACCCTTCAACTAATCAAACACAATTAATGAAGATGTGAAGAATTTCCTTTAAACGTTATCAAGTTGCAAGCAATGTAAATGAAAGTCACTTTCCCAGACAAGTTCTTTCACCACTATACTGGCCTTTAAAAAAAGACACAGATGTGGAAAAGCAGTCATCTGCCACTGTCTGGGACACTCGCTTGGGTAAGTGGAAGAGGGGTTGGCTTCTCTCAGCGTTTTCCAAAACAGAGCTCCTGAAGCCCAGAGACGATAGGGCTGGATACATCCTGGTCTTCTCCCAGAAAGAGCTGATGCATTACCAGTTAAAGCAAATCCAATCTGTCTAGACTACCCATGCTTCCCTTCTCAGTAAATTCATTTTGAAGGCTGGAAAATAGTTATTGTTATAAAAATATTCAAGTTGTGGGAGCAGTGGCACATGCTACTCAGCAGGCTGAGGAAGGATGATTGCCAAGTTCCAGGCCAACCTGGCAATTCAGGGAGACCCTGCCTCAAAAAAAAAAAAAAAAAAAAAAGGCTAGGGATGTGGCTCAGGAGTGGAGTGCTTCTGGGATCAATTCTTAATATCAAATAAACAAACAACAACAAAAATAGGTTAAGTAAGTTTGTTGTCAATCTATATGTTTAAATTTCTCATTTTTAATTTCTAATACTATAAATACTAATAAGAGTCTTGTGAAAGAATCGAGAGTCATGAATATCACCATTCACTTACATTCCTGTCACTCATGACAGGAAGCTCTCCCAGGACAGAACCAGAATTTGTTTGCCTTTGAATGCCCTCATCACTATTCCATATGCTTCAGGAACTCAACCAAATTTCACAGCACTTTTTCCACTGGTGGATGGATGGATGGATGGATGGATGGATGGATAGATGGATAGAAGGGAGGAAGGAAGGAAGGAAGAAAGGAAGGAAGGAAGGAAGGGAAGAAGGGAGGAAGGAAGGAAGGAAGGAAGGAAGGAAGGAAGGAAGGAAGGAAGGAAGGAAGGAAGGGAAATGTAGGGGGCAGATAATGAGCTCTGCTCTGCTATTCCCAGCCACCTAACCAACCACATCTTTCTGGGTCTCAGCTTCCCTAACTGTATAAGAGTTAATCAACCCTACCCCAGTAGTATGAAGATTAAATAAAATGATGTATAAAGTAAAAGGCACAGTGGCTATGCATTATAGGTTTTTTACGTTTTTAATTCCTTGTATTTTTAAACTACAAACTGTCATGGAAAGGAAGACTAGTTTTCTAGGATCTAAAGGTTATTCTGAAGAGCAACAGCAAAAGAATAGAAGCAGAAAATACAGACAGAAGTATGAACAGAACACAAAGGAGATGAATTTCCATCTTTTGAATGAGTCATGGTGAAAGGTATTTTATAAAATATTTTTGTTAACAAAACATAATGGAAAGAGTAATTTATATTTCTATTAGAGTTGGGAAGAAACTTGAATATGCCTAAATTTCCACCATGGAAAAAATGCTGGCCACTCAGGAAGATAAAAATGTTCACATGTTGCCCCCTCTAAAAAAATTTACACCTAGCTACCCAGCTCAGAAGTGAAGGAGAAGGCAGGAAGGAAGAAGATGTACTACTGGTGGAAACAGGAGCTAGAGTCATAGTTGCCCTTACTACCTGGGGTGAGGGGGAAGTGTACTGTTTGACATTGGTTGCTTTTCTCAGTGCTCAGACAAAACACCCAACACCCACAATTTAAAGAGGGAGACGTTTATTTGGGTTCACAGTTTTTAGAGGTTTCCAGTCCATGGTAGGCTGGTTCCAAGGCAGAAACAGCGTGGTAGAAAGGCCTGCCAAGGAGAAAAGCTGCGCATGTCAGGACAGCCAGGAGGCAGAGGGAGGAGGCGGAGCCAGGGAGGGAGGAGTACCCATCCAGATCATCACATCCTCTCCCAATCAGGCTCCACCTCCCAGTGAATGCAGGGTCCCCACGATCCAACCACTTTCCCAAAGTCCAGCCTCCTGAGCACACTAGGGGTCCGAGGGACATTCTGGATCCAAATCATAATAACATAAACGAGCAGCATCTTTCTGTTAGTCTCCTGTACTACTCTACAGGGCACAGACATTTGACATCACTCAGTTTGAAACTGTAGTTGTGATTTCTACTAAAACATATAAGATAAGCATAGCACTCTAAACCAGAGGAAAATGTTAGAAGAAGCCTACTGTATCGGCACAGGACAGAATCAACCTTAAGCATTATTGATAGAAAACTTCAGTGCATATGCTTCCAAAGTTATGTCTCTGACATCTGTCCTAAGCTCTCAGTACTCAGATATTAGCACTTGGCAATTTAACAGACTTCTTCAACAAACATGGAACCCAAATCCTCCAGCTATCATTTTGATCTCTGCCTTCTCACCTTTTTATCCATGACAGCGTGTCCATCGGCACACAAGATCTTCCACAGACTCTATTTCCAAAACAAGCTAAGGTCCTTTGAATTTGTTTTCCCCTCTGCCTAGAAAATATCTGCCACGGAACTAAAGCACAGCCTCGGGTCCGTGTGCAAATGTCACCTTCCCGGAGAGGCCTGGTATGAAACAGCAGAGAACTCTAAGTCTTAACCAGATAGTCTCCCCTTATCCTACTTTCTCCTGACCCTAGGCCTTCTCATCACCTACACTGGCACCAGCTGTTCACCTTTTCCTTTACTCATCAATCCCTGCATTTTCCCTATCAGGATAAACTCTGTGCAGGCAGGCTGTGCTTGTTCATTGATGCACTCCCAGCACCTCAGCTACGGCACAGTGCTTACTCAGCAGCACTGCATGAGGGGATACTTTCTACAGGATGCTGCCTACATTTCTGAGCAAGCAACTAAGCGATCCTCAAGCTGAAAACTGTCCTCTCCTCCTGCGGTCTCACTACTCTTCTACACCTTCTATGTAAGACAACATAAACAGTGTCTTCCTTAAATCACTTGTTGGCCTGCCACTTACTAGTCATCACACCAACACATCATTTGCTAATCAACTTTGTTAGCTACATATTTCGCTTGCATTATACATCCCTTTGACCTTGAAATGATAGAGAAGGAAGGCTTCGTCTCCTGAGGCACCAGAGAAGAACACTCAGGTGTGTGCAAGTTTCCTGCCCCACTGCCTTTCACATTCCCCTGACTGGAGAGGAGAGTGACAGCACTGATCCAGGGTGCCACAGGGGCGGAAGGACAGAGAAGTGCTCTTCCAGAACAGAAGGACTTTCCATGACCTAGCTGTCAGTTTCTGTTTGAGCAGCAGGGAAAGGACACAGTTCCCAGAGGTTGTTCTTCACAGCCTTCAGTAAAAGACACACACCCACACACACACAGATGCCCGAGACCACTGGAGCAACTGAACCCGGGCTGGCTTCAGCAAAGACTTGAGAACCAAGGAGAAAGATCAAGGCACGAGCTCGACCCTTGTGACTCTGAGGTAATTATCACGTTCTCCCGCATAAAGCAAAAAAAGTGAATTTCAACAAGGATAATTGTGTCCCCTCTCTGGCGACTGAACTCTGAAACACTTATAACCACATCTCCTAATACTATTATGAGGCATTAAAAAGGTATAAATCTGCCTCCTTATCAATATTGTGTTCATTGTAGACTTTTGCTTTTTAATACTCAAATATATAAAGAAAATATGAAGAAAAAGTACCATTCATGAAAAAAACCTTTGCTATAATTTTCCGTTCTGCTGTTCCCTACTTCTTTCTGCTCTCTTGCCTCGATCCTGGGCTAGAGAACCTTCTGCCCCAGACCCTGATTCTTGTGAGGAAATCTGCCTCTGTTCACTGTCCCAGCTCATATACCTTAACCCTCTATTTCTCAAGCATTAGTCAGTCTCACATTACCCTGATAGCTTTTGTCACACCCGAGAACCACCCTCACAGGGACTCTGCAAGCTACGTCCAAAGCCCAGATCTGGCTGTGTCTCTGTACCACTCGCGAGCTAAGAAGAGGTTCTTCTGTTTTTGTTGAAAAATCAAAATAATAATATTCCATCACCACTGAAAACTAAAATTCAAATGTCAGAGTTTATGAAGTGTCTCAGCAATGAAGAGTTGTTGAAACAGCCCCAAGTCCTTTTGTTTATGTGCTGTCTATGGTCACTGCTGCACTACAGTGGCAGCGGTCAGTACTGGCGGTAGAGAAAGCAAAGTCCGAAACATACTTTTTGCCCTTTATAAAAGATATTAGCCTGCTACTAACCTTAGCAGAATACGTCCCTTTAAGTTGATTCATTTTACTTAAAATGACTTGAAAAGAAAACTTTATAACACTTATAAATGGAAAGCTATGATGATCCTAAGCTGACTGCAATCTACAAAGAAACTACAACCACTACCCAGGGTAAACCTTCACACCAGCAACTCCTTTTCTGAGTACAGAGCCAAATGATTTGAAAGCAGGAACTCGAACAGGTACTTGTAAACCCATGTTTGTAGCACCATTGTTCATACTAGTCAAAAGGTTGAAGCAGCTCAAATGACCATCCACAGATGAATGGAAAAAAATGTGATATTCACAGTGGAATATTTTTCTGCTTTTAACGTAAGGAAATTCTGGTAGATGCTCCCACATGGATAAAACTTAAACACATCATACTAAGTTAAATAAGTCAGTCACAAAAGGACAAATACCATATAATTCTATGAAGTACTGAGAGTAGTTATATTTATGGAGGTAGAAAGAACGATTGTTTCCAAAAGCTGGGGCGACAGGGAAATGAGGATAATTGGTTAACTGGTCCAGAGTTTCTGTTTCACAACATGAAAAAAATTCTGAAGACAGAAGGTGTTGATGGTTGTACAATAAATTTAGAGGTACTTAATGCCCCTGAACTATATACTTAAAATAGTTAAAATAGTAAAGTTTGTTATGTATATTTTACTACAATTGAGAAAAAGTTAAAATTGCAACAAAAATAATGTTAACTAAAAACAAGCTAGATATTCTTGCACAGCTGTTTTCTCCATGTTGAAAATGGGAATCAGCAGGTCTTAGAGAAGCCTTGAACCTTAACATTGCACACGAACTCTGCATTTAATACAGTGCAAAGGAACTGAAAAGGGTCCATCTTACCACACGGAACTCAACTTCTTTAATGTTACATCCTTCTACGCATCTGAACATAAAAATATGGGAATTTGCATAGTCTTGCCATTTGGGGAACACTAGCCAAAAGTATTCCTTGGTGACACATCATGGTTCAGGAGCTATAATCCTTCCATTCTTGTTTAAAAAAAAAGCTGTTTCTTGGTTAGATATTGGAGAATGTAAGTTAAGCTTTCCTAGATTAAAGTTCTCTTTTTTTTTTTTTTTTTTTTTTGAGTCAGGGTCTTGCTCTGTAGTGTAGGCTGGCTTTGAAGTTGCTTATGTAGCCCAGGCTGCTCTTGAACTCATGGTGATCTTCCTGCCTCAGCCTTCCAAGTGTTGGGATTATAGGTCTGCACCACCATGCCCAGCATAAAGTTCCCTCTTTCATATTGACATCTCATTTTTAAAAATTAATTCATTGAAACAAAGGATAATTTATGAGATTTTCTCTCTTGTGGTTAATTTTTTAAATATCCTAAAAAAAAAACCACATGGTGAGGAAAAGAGCAGGAAAGTCTTCCAGAAAACCTCTCCATTTTTCAGGAAAGTATACTTGGTAGAACAAAAACACAAGGAAATACCTGCGGTATGTGGGTATGTGTCAAATTTGATAAAGCACTAGTAATAGTAATCAACAACACTAATACTCCAAAGCACAAAAATTCTTTTTTTTTAATATCATAAATTGAACTCAGGACCTTGTGCTTGCCAGGCAGGCACTGTGCTGCTGAGCTATATCCCTAGCTCAAAGCACAAAAATTCTAAAAGAAATATTTTATAGGTTAAAAATTAAAAATCCATTTGTATGTCTTAGTACATACAACTATTTTCAAAGGATCATAGGTTTTCTAAGACCTTAACGTGTAACCTAATATGAAATACCCATAAAACCAAGTTATTCTGACAAAGTCAACTGCAAGGCATCTTACGTTGTCCACAGTAGGTTCCAATATATCCCTTCTGGCACTGGCAGTGCTCATCTGCACAGGTCCCACCATTCATGCACCGCACACTGCACTGCTGAACTGCAAAGGACAGCAACAAGAGAGCACAAGTAGCAGTCAACAGGGTGACAGTACCTATAAAATTATAAAGCGCCTGTCCAAGTTATTGATAAATATGTTCTACAGAAATAAATATTACAACCCACTTGCCCTAAGTGCACTCATGGACATATCTGTTACAGATGTTATTTAGTTGATAGAGTAAATCCTCAGTGTTAAAGGAGCTCATTGGAAGGGGACAAGCAGTACTGCAGTTCTGTACAGACCCTGGCAGATGGGGGCACTTGTATGCATTCAGAGCGCAGGGCTGAGTGCCTGCAACCATGATAAAGTTGGCTTTGTTCTTTATGGAGCCTGCATTCCACTAAGGAGGCAGATGAAATAGTACGGCCGATAAACAGTACCACAAAGTAATTATAGACTGTGGTAAACTAAGAAAACTGGTGTGAAAGAATAGCTTAGAGTCAAGGGGACACTTAGTTATAGGAACCAAATACCACTGCTCTGTTTGACACCTGTACTGAGTCTAGGAAGATGAAACTCAGCCAGGTATGAGAAAGAGCAGTGAGGAGCTTCAGAGGGGGCAGAGCCAGCACTCAAAAGATCATAGGTTGGTAAACAGTTTCCTCTGAAGAGCTGACATTCTGTATGGTGAAAAACGGGCAGATGAAGAGGCCACCTTGGACATACAAGGAGACTCCTATGTAAATGAATTCACCCAAGGAAGAAAGAATTCTTAGGATTAAAGTAATACAATCAAAAACTCCAACAGTACCTGACATTTAGTAAAAACCCAGCACGTTAAAGCTATTATCCACAAAGAATTACTTCAGGGGAGTAATTCTTTTTCCACTGCATAGGCACACTCCTAAACAGAATTAAAGCCCTTTTCTTACCGAAACCCATTATCCATTTGAGTAACAAGTAAGCAGCCAAAGGTTATTACTCCAAAATTACTACAGACCTAGTTTGTGAGGAAAATAAACAGAACTTTATATTTTTTTTGAAAAGGGCATTTAGCATTTACTCAAAGGCTTAGGGAACACGCAGTACACAAAGCCATATAAAAGAAACATACTTGATTTTGCTCCACAAGTCGGTGATATTTGGCCGCTGGAACAAGTACACATGTTAGGTCGGGAACAAAATCCATCTCCACAACTGTTTCTACAAATTGCTGTAGAAAGCACAATAGGAAAGTGAATAAATAACTACATAATAAATTACAGTTCACAAAATAAGAAAGCTATATTTTCATAACATAAAGCCAAAAAATTAATATACAATTTTATATATGATGTAATAGGTCAACTTTAGCCATGTAGTGAAATTACCTATTGTAGTTATGGGGGTAAGTTTTACAAGTATCCTTCTGATAATGTGGAAACAAGTGAAACTATTTCAAATTGTGTAATACTAAACCTTTAATGCTCCTATCCATACAAATTGCTTTTTTCATTCAAAATTGAGAATTTAAATGCAGAATTCACCAAGAATTCAGCCTTGACCTGGGAGCTGGAAGCAGTAAGGAAACTGAGAGAACCTGCACACCCTTACAAAAAACAGCCCACTGTGTAAAGGACCTTTACAGAAGAAAGAGAATGTGAAATTGGCTGAGCCAAAGACTCCAGTCTCTAATGGCTCGGCCAAGCCTCAGGGGTTCCATGCACATTCCTTCCCAGCTGGTATCTGACCTGCCCCATCATCAATCTCTGTTCCCCTTAATAATTCCTTCTGTCCTTCTTCCAGCCTTTCTTCTCCCATAGCATCTTCACCGCCTAACCTACCCTTACCACTCAAGAAAGCTGCTGAGACATTTTGATAGGGGGAGAATCAAGGCTTCCTGCAGCTGCGACCTCCAGTAAATACAAAGGTATGAGGGTCACCACAGTGGAGAATGTTAGACTCACCAACAGCGCATACCACAGACACTTAAAACCTGTAGTCGAGAGTCTTCAACGGGGGAGTTTGTCCCAAATTTAGAGTCCATTCATTGAGAGCTGAAAGATTTATCTCTATACCCACAATTGAATTCTGTCTGAGCACAAAGGCGGTGTGCTTTAGAGCTCTGTGAGGGGCATCTAGGAATGCCCTGACACTTGCTGTAAACATTTATGCTAATGTGCCTATCTATCTTTCGCTAGGGAGTGCTTTTACAACTTTCAAAGAGATTCAATGGCCAGGCATGTAGCTCAGCTGCAGGGTGCCTGCCTGGCAAGTGTGAGGTCCTGAGTTCAATTCCCAGTACCAAAACAACCAAACACAGAGATTTAAGACCTCCCCAACAGTATAAGGCACATACACTATTGAAGCAAAGGAACTCAGTAGTTCTTTTACTTCTCCAAATTGCCTTTTTACATCCATGTCATATGGCCTTATCAGCATCAGGACTCCTTATAAAGGAAATAGTGTCAACTATGATGTGAGGATAAAATTTTAGGCCAGAATATGGCTCCCCAAGAGAATTGGTTAATACTTCTTAAAATACACTATAGTTTCTGATCACCAATAACTAACTATTCAACAACAAATGGTCATTAAAATATTGTGTTTTACTTCAAAGAATCCTCTTCCCCAGCAGGTGGGTAGTCTAGCTTAGGTGAAAGCGCTTCATCCAGACTTAATCTCAGTGAAGTGTGAAAGGGTGCAAAGGGGGTCAGGACTGCATCTATGTGCAGTGTATTTTTAACCCCATGAGAAGCAAGAATAGTCTGGTCCTTTCTCCTCACACACTTTTCAGGCTCCCATTATGTATCACATAAATATTTAACCAGGAGACCTCCGAATACCAGCGAGAGGAGAGGGGACCTAGATACAGGTATTTCAGTGGCATCTGGAGCACCGGGGACTGGGTGGCCAGGTAAAAAGTATGTGGTATATGAAGGTCTCAGGTCCAGTCCTCCTCTGTCCCAGATCCGCTGTAAGCTCAGGAGGAATCCACAGCATCTCTGGGTTCAGTTTTCTCATTGGTAATGCAAAATAAAGTGATTATACTGGCATGTTATGAGTTTTCTTCAAGTCTCAAACGCTATGAATCTAGGCCAATCCCATCCCACTGTTTAAAATTCTGTCCCTAGTATAAAATAAATTAATTGATAAGCAATTTTTCTATTACTTCATAGTGTAACAAGATTATAGAACAATAAATGGAAAATAAGAAAGTCAATTCCATCCTTTTGCAAACAAATATTTCAGAGTTTGGAAACACTTCAGTGATTTTTCAAGTCACAATTAAGAATAATAAGAAAATAGAGTTCAAAATGCATTAAATTTCTAATATTTTATGAACTATATTTTGCTTTTAATAGCTCTTTCTCATAATGAAGCCTGATCAAAGCCAAACGGATTAAAATTTGAAGTTTCTCACTAAAGTAGAAATGGGAAAATTGGTCTGTATTTTCTATTTATATCTTGTTCATTAAGGCATTCTCCAAATATTTTTTTGCTAAATGTTGAGATATAGGTAACATCCTGAAGAAAGCCTAGAATTGAAATTCTCGATTTTAAGTTTATGATGGTTTTATTTTCATTATTTTCCCCACTGATTATCTTTTGAAATGTCAACATATTGAATTATTTAATTTAATTAGTCTGTCAAAGGTTAACCATTAGGTAACACCCACATAATAGGATATGGTGGTGATAGTGTTACACCATATTATTTACCCCCTTATTTAATGTACTATTTTATACATTCAAGTACAAAATTTACTATTTTGGGAGGGGTTGTGGGAATTTGAGACAGGTTCTCATTATGTAGTTCAGGCTGGCCTTGAACTCACTGAACAGCCCAGGGTAGCCTCTAACTTGTGGCAATCCTCCTGCCTCAGCCTCTTGTATGCTGGGATTACAGGCATGCACCACCACACCTGGTTTAATCATTTGCTTTTTATGTGTTAATAATAAGGGTTTTTCAGATAGCTCTTGAAACAGATTTAAATATTTCTTGGAGATACAAAGATCATTTCAAGGTTCATGCTTTTTATAGATTTCTGATACATGTAAATTTCAATGTATCTCATAAGCACCCAAATATTTCAACTAGCAGAAATGTAAGCTACCACCGTCATTCTCACTATTAGATTCTGAGAGCTAATCTTCTAAACTAGAAAGGGGCACAACTGCTACTCCTTTAAAACTGACACTCAGCGAGCCATACATGTACTCCTACTGCAAATATTCTAGAAGGCTCTGCTCTCTGGAATTCCCATTCCACACTGATCCAATAAAACCTGACTTTACAGATTTTCAACACGTACCATAGCCCTAGCCCTCCTCCTCGGCTGCTCTCCAACTCAATAATGGCAGTCACATTCATTACATTTAGTGAGTCAGACTTTCCGCCCTGCCTAAGTCACTCCTGGCCAGGGTGGCAGGTGTGCCGTGAGTGACGTTAGCTGTTTTAGAATTCTAGGAAACCAGAGCAGTGATGCCCTACTGGTCTGAAAAAGCAAATGCACCTTCCTTAAACGCCTCACATATGACTTTCTGTGTTGGAGGAAAAGAAAGCCATGCCCTTTCTTTTTTAAAAAGGAAAAGCAAAGACTTATAATAGCACATATTATTTAAAATGTTATGAAGAACTTTAAAGAACACAGCTGCTATTCTCTATTTTGCCTCATGACTAGAGATTTTGAGATTGGTGGTAGAAAAATAGGAAGAAACTAGTCTCAACAACACTCGAGATTGCATTTCTTTTTAAAAACTGCCCCGAAATAGCATGGAGGATCTGTCTTGAGCCCACAAAACCAATAAATATAGAGAGACGCCACTACATCTGTATTATCTCTTGGCTAGTGCGTCTAGACCCTTTTCTCTGTTCATAATTGCATAATTATCTTCTCCCTAGAGAAGACTGAGGTCAATCTAAAGTCAAGACTGGCTCCAAATGAGCACGCTTCTAACGTACAGGCTGTCTTCTGCACTGGACAAATGAAATAAAACGCAGCGGTCTTGACTATACCGCTGGTAACTAAAAAAGCTCGCCAGTTAACATGCATATAGACTTTGGAAACCGAGTGAAACAACCAACACTTTCATGGAAATACACAGACGTCTCAAGTTCTAAGATTCATGCTTTGGAAATCTGTGCACCATGAGACTCAGGATCTAGAAATTCTAAATGTAAATGTTTTTCCCCCTCCCTTCCCCAAAAGGTCATGCCACTCAACAGAGTTCTCTTTTAAAATTTTGTTAACCTGAGTCAACTGCAACTCAGCATTCTGGGAATGCTCCGTTCACATCTCTGTGATGTGGCTGTGGAGATGAAGGCAGAGATAATGGGGGTTTGTGGAAGGGCTTTGAAAAGCTTGATCTTCCTAAGGCCCAAGCCTGAGCAGATCTCAAAGCCAGATAATTTACATAATAACACTGTGGCTTTATCTGGACTTTGGAGGGGGGAGTGGTTTTGAGTTATCTAGAGAGTTGCACTAACAGCCCTCCCCTTTGAATTTGTATTGAGACAAAAAGATAGGACTTCCAAGCATCTTTAAAACTTTTAACATTATCACTGCTCTTCTCCGGAGTCTGAACTGCTGAAAGCTCTTTTCCCCTTACTATTCAATCAGGGCTGAACCAGATCATCACCGCTGTGGGGCCAATGCATTTTAAGTGCAACTCTGTCCAAGACTGAAGCAAGGTCAGCCCCAGCCAGCCTAAGGATGCCGCCCCGCGCTGTGAGCCCAGCCCCGCACTCACGGACAATGCACTGATTTCCTCCGGGAAGCGTCTTCCAGCCAGGACAGCAATAGGAGTGAAACCTGGAGCCGCACACATTGGGCCTGCAAGGGACAAGCAGGTCACACACGTGCGGGAGCAGGTTTAGAAACACAGAAGCGCTTTTCATTCCAGAACAAGTAGATTTGGACACCACACACAAATCAAAGCTACGCTTCAGATCCTTGGGGTTAGGGGGATGGCAGTAAAAGCCCTTTCATCTTGCTTGCCATTTTCAAGGGCGACAGGAGACATGGAAACATATAATTTGCCACTATTCTAGCGTCCGGACGCAGAGAACAAAGGGAACATTCCGTTGCGAATTCCTTGCCCTCATTCCCAAATCCATCTCGCCTTGATCAAGTGTTACTTGGCCCCGACGTGTCAAGGAAGGCACCTGGAAAGGTAGAGCGCTCCGGCTGATGAGCAGAATGAGCTCTAAACCCCCCGCACACGTCCTCAAACAAAAGGCTGAGGAGGGGCGCCCCCGACGGTGGGGAGAAGGCAGGCTCCAGCACCCCGGCGCAGAGCGCACAGAGCCCGCCTTCTGTCCGCACTGGGAACCTGTTCCAGCGCCTCAGGCCCTGCACGGGCTCTGCGATCCGAACCCAGGGGATCCGAACCCTAGGGGCCCGACCCCACCCCCGGGAAGGCTCTCCGGAGGCTGAGCGCGGGGTCCGTCCGAATTGCGAGAGGCTCCTGGCGGGCTTCTAGTCTCCTACAGAAGTGAGAGGCCGCCTGCCCCGCAACGAGGGTCGAGCACTGGGTGACACGGAAAGTGCCGAGCCAAGGCTGGTTCCCCAACCAGCCGCCCCGGGGCGCGGGCCGCCTGCCCACCTACCCTCGGAGCACGTCCTGCTGTCCTCGCCTGCGGACGCGGCTGGCCGCGGCGGCGCCCTCCTCCCGGTACTCGGGCGCCACGAACCCGCCTTCGGAGCCCG